TGTTCAATTTTGAGTGAGTCTCCAGTATATGACTCGCTGATTCAAATGATCAATTCAGAGTGAGTCTCTCTCATTGATTCAAATGATCAATTCAGAGTGAGTCTCTCATTGATTCAAATGATCAATTCAGATTGAGTCTCTTTCATTGATTCAAATGATTAATTCTGAGTAAATCTCCAGTAAGCCATTCACTTATTCAAATGATCCATTCAGAGAGAGTCTCTGCTGAAACAATCACTGATTCAAATGATCTGTTTAAAGTGATCTCCAATAAACAATTCACTGATTTAAATGATCCGTTCAGAGTGAGTCTCCAGTAAATAATTAACTGATTCAAACGATCCATTTACATTGAATCAGTAGTAAACGATTCACCTCTATCTGTTTCGGGACCTTGCGATTCACAAATTAAGCACTGAGTCTCCAGTAAATAGTTCACTGATTCAAACAATCAGAGCGATCTACAGTAAATGATTCACTGATTTAAATGATCTGTTCAGGGTGAATCTCCAGTAAACAACCCTCTGATTCAAATCATCCTTTCAGAGTGATTTATCAGTAATTCAGTGATTCATGCATTCAGAATGAGTCTCCAGTAATTAATTCACCAATTCAAATCATTAGTTCAGAGTCATCTCCAGTAAATAGTTCACTGATTCAAATGAACTGTTCATTTGTGCTTGATGTTTCATCATGCATTCTCTCTATGTGCACACTTGAAGTCATTTGCTTTAAAGTGAGTGCGAAATTCAGAGAGGATAAAAAGTATGTTGACCTCCATAGGGGCGCGTCAGCTAGCGTTTGGGAGCGTTTGACGTGTCGGTTTCTGTCAGCAGAAGGTCGGAGGTCAACAGGAGTGACAAGCACGTCTCGCTGAGAGGCATTCTGGGACATTTGGCCTTCTGCACAGTGAGAGCGAACCCCTGTCGCCGCTATGGGGTGATACACACTCAGAAGACACACACATCTCAGTCACAACACACATTTCATAAAGGTCTCTTGTCATCTTCATTTTCACACACACACACAGTGTAGACAGAGATATACAGTTAAAGTCAAAATGATTCGCACTCCTGTTAATCTTGTTTCTTTTTCAAATATTTAACAAATGATGTTGAACAGAGCGAGGAATTTTTCACAGTGTTTCCTGTAATATTTTTTCTTCTGTAGAAATTCTTAATTGTTTTATTTCATTGATTCATTTTCATCAGTTTTTCCGGGGCCGGGTCGTGAGGGAACCCCAGACTTCCCTCTCCCCAGACAGTTCCTCCAGTTCCTCGGGGGATTCCCCCCTAGGTAGGTGTAAGGGAAGCCAGCTAGTGTGTTGTGCAGGTAAACCTCACTCCTCTGACCTCTAAAGGTGCTCTAGCGATAGACGCTAGAGGCCATGGTCTTTACCCTCCTTGGTAGAGCACCTGACTGCCATGCGGAAGGTCGCTGGTTCGATACCAGCTCGGAGCGGGTTGGGTGGCATAGGACTGCTGGGGTTACTTTGGTGCTGTGACCCAGATGGGAGTGAGGTTTAGGAGGGTGAGTGTTAACGGAGGCCAGCTAGTGTGTCGTGCAGGTAAACCTCACTACTCTGACCTCTAAAGGTGCTCAAGCGATAAATGCTAAAGGCCATGGTCTTTAGCCTCCTTGTTAGAGCAACCGACTCCCATACGGAAGGTTGCCGGTTTGAAACCAGCTCGGAGCGGGTTGGGTGGTGTAGAACCGATGGGGTTACATAGGCATCCAGGAGGCATCCCTAACTGATGCCCGAGCCACCTCAATTGTCTTGCGTTTAGTTTTGCGAAATATGCGAAGTTCGCCCAACTTTAAAATGATTTTGAGGCAGAGGAGGAGGGAGCTTGCATCGATGGTTTATACATGGTGTTCTTCACAGGAGTTTGTTGGTATGAGAGAGATCATCTCAGGTCTGGTTGGAGCAAATTGTGGCAGGCTTTGATGAGCAGTGGGTCTACTTTGAGCTCCTCCCGTGTGACAGAGCGCCTCACCATATCTATTCATCCTCCATGAGCATGCACCTTATCGTGGTGGAGGGGTTCGTGTGCCTTAGTGATCCTAAGAGCTATGTTGTCAGGGGCTAATGCCCATGGTAGGGTTTCCCAAGGCAGAAAAGTCTTGGGTGACAGGTGACATGTCAGACTTAGGCCCCGTTTGTCAGATCTTGATGCCCAATTCTGATTTGTTGCCTATATCTGATTTTTTTTTGCCTGTCCGTTCTTTTAATTGTGACCCATATTTGATTCATGTGTTTACACTTGCCATACAATTTCATTCACAGGAGTTTGTTGGTATGAGAGAGATCTTAGGTCTGGTGGGAGCAAATTTTGGCGGGCTTTAATGAGGAGCAGTGGGTCTGAAATTTTAGAATGAGCACACACGCTCTTCCTTCTACGTCATTAAACTGCGGAGAAGTACCACATTGTTGCAAGTTTAATGACGTACAACACAGAATGCCTCAAAAAAATATGATCTGCCTGTTTAGATGATAGTCACATTGTCATATATCTGATTTAGATCTGATTTATTCGCACATATGAAGGAGGCCTGAAACCCATCTCTGAATATCCGAATACCTTTTTTGTGTTTACACAGTCATAGAACTAATCCGATCTGTTTTTTAAAGTAATGTTTCACTGAAAACTGTCAGTTTAAATAGTTTAAACTAACTAAATAAATAGTTTAATCTTTCATTTTATAGGTTGCTGATGCTGTTTTCAGGTTTTACTCTTAATGCACTTGACCTACATTTGTAATTCGCCAAATACAAATACGCCAATCGTAATTCAAGTTTCACACTTAAGTCTGTAACCATGAAACTGAATCTGACACTGTGATGGAAAATGTGCGACTGTTGTAGGAATACACAAGGAGCCGGAGCTGGTTAATAAGGCCGATTTCAAATGTCAAGCCGTGGATTTCAGTCATGCATCACAGCTTCTGAGTTTGTCTGTTTTCTTCTCCTGTCCATCACACTGACAGCATCTTTAATGTTTCTGTTTTGTATATTAATTAAATGTACTATTCCGTCGGCATCTCGGTCTTCACATGAATTGACAGAGTGGCAGCTCTCGTAGTAACACGAACTGATATCCTCAAAATGAACAGAAATAGACTCTGATTGCGTAAATTGGTCATGTTTAAAAATGAGAATGTTTTTATTTTGGTGTTTTATCTGTATAGCAATAAGGGCCAAAGGGGGATGGACATTAATTATTGTTTCAGAGTGCGTCTCCACTGCCATTAGTATAATGTAAAAAATTAATAAATAAATGAATATAAAGCAAATAAAACATACAGCATATAAAGTTTATTTAGAAAAACACATGAGCAATACATTATCAAATGCATAAGCATGTAAAACTTTACTGCTAACATTTCAATGCTATTTCTCACTCACTCACTCACAGTATAGTACAAAAAGTATACAAATTATCAGCAAATTACCTCATTAAAATGACTAAAAGACACACACTAAATATTTCTAAAATTTAAACAAACTAAATATTGTCAGGGCAAGCACAAATCCCTCTTTCAGGTTAAACCAGCACAAAGTTCTAAAAATTTGTATTTATTCCTTTTGTTTACTGGTTTTAGCAAAAAAAAATAAAAAATGTCTTTGGTCTTTGTTTTTTTCTTGTAGTGTCAGCATATAATGTATATGTTGCATTTAAAATGATAGGTTGACTTCACTTAGAGTGGGTAAACCTGTTGTCACTTGGAACTGTTAAGTTAACTTAATTTTTATAATCATGCACAGTTAATTTCTTTAATCTTTTAAAAGTCAAATAATCACTTTAAAAGCAACAGGTTTACTCGGCTTTTTAAAGTCAACTAATCATCTTCAGGGTCAACCAATTGCTTTTAAAACATCAGGCTTACTCGCCATTTAAAAGTAAAATTTACCAATCACTTTCAAAGACAAATCTGTTTTAAAAGCAACAGGTTCACTTGTCTTTTAAAAGTAAAATCAACCAATCGCTTTCAAAGACTACTAATCGCTTTTAAAGCAACAGGTTTACTCAACTTTTAAAAGGAAAGTCAACTAATCGCTTTCAAAGACAACTAATCGCTTTCAAAGCAACAGGTTCACTTGTCTTTTAAAAGTAAAGTCAACCAATCGCTTTCAAAGACTACTAATCGCTTTTAAAGCAACAGGTTTACTCAACTTTTAAAAGGAAAGTCTACTAATCGCTTTCAAAGACTACTAATCTCTTTAAAAGCAACAGGTTTACTCGTCTTTTAAAAGGAAAGTCAACTTATCGCTTTCAAAGACAACTAATCGCTTTTAAACCAACAGGTTTACTCAACTTTTAAAAGGAAAGTCAACCAATCGCTTTCAAAGACTACTAATCGCTTTAAAAGCAACAGGTTTACTCAACTTTTAAAAGTAAAGTCAACTAATCACTTTCAAAGACAACTAATCGCTTTAAAAGCAACAGGTTTACTCAACTTTTAAAAGTAAAATCAACTAATCACTTTCAAAGACTACTAATCGCTTTAAAAGCAACAGGTTTACTCAACTTTTAAAAGTAAAATTAACTTATCACTTTCAAAGACAACTAATCGGTTTCAAAGACAACTAATCTCTTTAAAAGCAACAGGTTTACAATAGTCAACTAATTGCTTTCAAAGTCAACTAACTGCTTTAAAATCAATGAGTTTACTTACTTTTCTTAAGTCAACTAATCGCTTTTTTAAAGCAACAGGTTTACTCACTTTTTAAGGTAAAGTCAACTAATTGCTTTTAAAGTCAACAGGTTCACTCGTCTTATATAAGTCAACTAATCACTTTTAAAAGTAACTAATTTACTCACTTTCTAAAGTAAAGTCAACTTATCGCTTTAAAATCAATGAGTTACTTTAAATTTTTGTCAACTTATCACTTTTTACAGTGCTTTTGTTGTTGTTGTTGCTGCTGCTGATAATATTCAATGTTCAAATTCATTCAGACTCGTTCATTCTTGAAAAATAAAACTGCAATCTCAACAATCCAGGTGAAATAAGAGTCTATTCAATTCTATCAACTTCATTTAGATGACCTTCTATCAGCAGTATAAATCTACCTTCAGCGTGCTGTTTCTGGCGTTTCTAATAGACCGGTGGACTGTAAGTGTGAGTGTGTACGCTGTAGTGTGTCAGACGTGGGCTCCTGGTCTGTGTGTCTGCTGAAATAACTGCAGTGCTGGAACTTGAGCACTTCGTTTCCCCAGCAGCTCCAGTCCGACTGCAGACTGCGAGCAAACAGCTCTAAACACCGTGGCTCACGGCGGATATAAGGCTTCAGCACAGCTACAAAACAACAGGGAAAGAATCGGTGTCAAATCAGTATCATCTGTAGCCAAGTAGAAGATGAATAAATGATGACAGAATCTTTATTTTTGAATGAACTGTCCTGTAAAGGTTAATTAATTAATTAAACACTATTTTAAACAATCATCAATCATGGACGTTTATCCTTATTGTGAACAAAATGGAAAGCGCATATAAAAAAGAAAAGAGCATTAAGAAGGATGTGATGATTGCACCTGCTAGTGAAGGTTTATGGGAGTGCAGTGTTGACGGGACGCTGACGAGCAGACGCTGATCTGGAAGCTCATTCACTGCTGAACATCTGAAACACACACAGATGTGGAGATCACAATATGAAGAGGAGGAAGAGGAAACCCTAAAAACACATATGATGGACATAGAAAACAGATAAACATGCATGCACACACATACTGCACACACACACACACACACACACACACACACAAACACAACCACTCACACAGATGCACTCAAATAAAAAAACACATGCATGCACAAATACACACTCACTCACTCACACGAACACACACACACATGCACTCAGACAAACACTTACACACAGACAACCACGCACACAAAACTGCACACACACACACACACACACGCACTCACACACAGATGCACTCAAATAAAAAAACACATGCATGCACAAATACACACACACTCACACACAAACACACATGCATGCACTTACACACAGATGCACTCAAATAAAAAACACATGCATGCACAAATGCACACTCTCACATGAACACACACAAACACACACACACACACACGGGCACTCACACACAGATGCACTCAAATTAAAAAAACAACACATGCATGCACAAATACACACACACACACACACACACACACACACACACACACACATGCATGCATACACACACACAACAGGTTTCCTTGTCTTTAAAAAGTAAAGTCAACACACAACACATGCAAAGACATACACATGAACAACACAAACAGATGAACACAACCATACACACACACAAACATACAAATACATGCACCCTCACACACATATGGATGCACACAAACATGTATTGAGACGAACACACATAAATTTACATCTCACATGCATGTATACACACCACACAAACACATGCATGCACTCAGATAAACACACACAAACAAACACACAGGCACAAAACACAGAACTGCACACAGCCACACATACTCAGCCAAACACACACACACACACACACACATTACCTGTCTGTATGGTCAGAGGTGGAGCGACACCTGCCCAGCACCAGCACTTCATAAGGCTTCTTGTGTTGTGAATCCAGAGGAAACACAAACTCTCCTGATCGAGTCACCTGCAGATTTCAAAGCTCCATTACTGAGAGATTTCCTAAAACTCACACTTTCTGCTTACTTTATTAAAAAAACAACTCATTCAAAAGACGTAGGTTATAAAATCCATCTGAATTAAGTCGTTTAATCTAATCTCTTTATGAATACACAAATTAAAAAAGAACCACAGGTCAACAGGGAGATTGCAAAAGAGCAGCTTCTGCTTGAAACTGGACTGACTGAATATCTACTATTTAAAAATATCCAAACAAATGTAAAATACAGTAAAACAGCCTAAATCTGTTAAAACACGTCGATCTGATGGCGGTTGAGTTTGCATATTATTGAGAGATCGCTAACAGGAACAGTGAACAGCTTCGCCAGAGCGCATCTGAAGCTCATATGCAGGTTTATTTTACATTATATGGCAGAAACACCACTGAGCCTCGCTAGATCCTCCTGTATGGGCGCGTGTCTGTTATAAAACACTCACAGGACATTCATTTGGACGACTATGCGGATATATTAAATAGTTCACACAAAAATACATAAAGAGAAACTTTCACTTTTACATGCTGTAGTTTGTGAATGAACAGACTAACGTGTACTAGTTGCAGACGCGATCATGAGGCTTTTTTTGCGCTGAGTTTGAAGAAACCAATCAGTGACTTCAAAAGCAACAGTGCATTACTGTGATCATTTTAATATAGCATATTATTAATGAAATCCAAAAAATAAAGTATAATATTAAGAGTTAATTTTAAGCTATCTTGTGGACCCACCTGCAAGATCGCTGAGGCCCACCGGTTGAGAATCCCTGCCATAATGCGATTCACAATGGTAAATAAACACTTTATTTACAATTGTTAATTAACAAATATTTTGTACAGCCTATAGAAGACTTTTTGCATGTTTCTAATGTGTGTTGTGGTGTATTTATTTCTTGTGTGTTGACCCACACCTTGACCCACAGCCACTCTGCCAGCACTTCAACAGCCCAGTGAGGATACAGCTCTTCTCTGACGAAACGCCGGTGCTTTGCCCGGTTAGTTACCCACGTTACCACTAAACCACCAGGAGCCGCCAGTGCAGGAACGGGAAGCTTCTTGAGCTGAGACGACGGCAGAGAACTGTACCTGTCAATCACAGCATCATATGACTTCAGTCTAGAGCGCTTCCTCATTACAGGCTGTGGAGGAGAATCATTCGACAAAATTATCCTGCAATTTTCAAAACGCATCACTATTCTCTAGAATTGATTTAGAGGTTAGTGTTGGCACTCTAGGCTAGCTCTTGCGATGCAAGCTAGTTTGTAAGAACAGTTTTTAACTTGCCTAGAGCGCCATCTGCTGTTAAACATGAGCCTAGAGCGCTGTCTGCTGTAAGACACAAGCCTTGAGCGCCATCTGCTGTAAGAGACTCGCCTAGAGCGCTGTCTGCTGTAAGACACTAGCCTTGAGCGCCATCTGCTGTACGACACTAGCCTTGAGCGCCATCTGCTATAAGACACTAGCCTAGAGCACTGTCTGCTGTAAGACACTAGCCTTGAGCGCCATCTGCTGTAAGACACTAGCCTTGAGCACCATCTGCTGTTAAACATGAGCCTAGAGCGCCATCTGCTGTTAATCATGAGCCTAGAGGGCCATCTGCTGTTAAACACTAGCCTAGAGCGCCATCTGCTGTTAAACATGAGCGTAGAGCGCCATCTGCTGTTAAACATGAGCCTAGAACTCCATCTGCTGTTAAACATGAGCCTAGAGAGCCGTCTGCTGTTAAACAGTAGCCAATAAACTAGCCTAGAGCATGTCTGCTGTTAAAAGCTAGCCTAGAGCGCCGTCTGCTGTTAAACACAAGCCTATAAACTAGCCTAGAGCGTCATCTGGTGTTAAACACTGGCCTATAAACTAGCCTAGAGCATGTCTGCTGTTAAACATGAGCCTAGAGCGCTGTCTGCGGTTGAACACTAGCCTATAAACTAGCCTAGAGCATGTCTTCAGTTAAAAGCTAGTCTAGAGTGCCATCTGCTGTTTAACACAAGCCTATAAACTAGCCTAGAGCGCCATGTTGTGTTAAACACTGGCCTATAAACTAGCCTAGAGCATGTTTGCTGTTAAAAGCTAGTCTAGAGTGCCATCTACTGTTAAACAGGAGCCTATAAACTAGCCTAGAGCGCCATGTGGTGTTAAACACTGGCCTATAAACTAGCCTAGAGCATGTTTGCTGTTAAAAGCTAGTCTAGAGTGCCATCTGCTGTTAAACCCAAGCCTAAAAACTAGCCTAGAGCATGACTGCTGTTAACATGAGCCTAGAGCGCCGTCTGCTGTTAAACACAAGCCTATAAACTAGCCTAGAGTGCCATCTGCTGTTAAACACTAGCCTATAAACTAGCCTAGAGAGCTGTCTACTGTTAAACACTAACCTATAAACTAGCCTAGAACAGTTTGCTGTTAAAAACTAGTCTAGAGTGCCATCTGCTATTAAACACTAGCCTATAAACTAGCCTAGAGAGCCATCTAGTGTTAAACACTAGCCTATAAACTAGCCTAGAGTGCCATCTGCTGTTAAACTCTAGCCTATAAACTAGCCTAGAGAGCCATCTAGTGTTAAACACTAGCCTATAAACTAGCCTAAAGCGCAGTCTGCTGTTAAAAACTAGCCTAGAGTGCCATCTGCTGTTAAACACTAGCCTATAAACTAGCCTAGAGAGCCATCTAGTGTTAAACACTAGCCTATAAACTAGCCTAGAGTGCTGTCTGCTGTTAAAAACTAGCCTAGAGTGCCATCTGCTGTTAAACACTAGCCAATAAACTAGTCTAGGGCGCCATCTGTTGTTACACACTAGCCTATAAACTAGCCTAGAGCGCTGTCTGCTGGTAAACACTAGCCTATACCTCATCTATAACAATGCATCTTCAATCATTTTTCATCCCAGCTCTGCTAATAATAAATAATTTCATAGCCATATAACAGGTATGAATGCGTGTCCATGGGGAGTCACTGCACCTGTTGCTTCTTTTGACAGATTTGTTCTCCCAAGGCGGATCGAGGACTATCAGGTCAAACTTGTCTCCACCTGTGATCAACATACAGCAACAATTACAGATCACACAAGAAAATATAAGCAGAGTTGTCTGATTTTTTAAAACACATATCCTCCATTTAAATAACTACTGATCCTGCATCTGAACTCACTGTTGACGAGGGGATCCATGCGCGTGACGTCAGACAGCAGGAATCGGCAGCGTGGGGGCAGCAGGTATCTCTCCCTCATAAACGTGATCTCACAAGCACAGTCGAATGGGTTTTCGGTGATGCTGGAGAATAAATCCAGCGCAGGGTTTTGGCCGTCTCTGCTCAGCGTGTGCACCGGCGACTCCTCTGATAACGGGAGCTGTTTGGCCAGGTCACAGAAAGCAGCGAGTTGACATTCGTGTGCTGATGTGGATTCAGACGGTGTGGATATAGTCTGTGATTCGGTCAGAGCTTCAGTGAAGTATCCACACTGACGTCCAGCTTCCAGAAGAGCCCGAGAGCCCTCCAAAACCACTGAGCGGACCTGAGAAAACAACAAAATAGGCTGTGTAATATAATGATGATGTGCAGCTGAAGTCAGAATTATTAGCCCCCCTGAATTATTAGACTCCCTGTTCATTTCTTCCACAGTTTCTGTTTAACAGAGAGCAGATTTAATCAACACATTTCTAAACATAATAGTTTTAATAACTCATCTCTAATAACTGATTTATTTTCTCTTTGCCATGATGACAGTAAATAATATTTTAATTGATATTTTTTCAAGACACTTCTATACAGCTTAAAGGGACATTTAAAGGCTTAACTAGGTTAATTAGGGTAACCAGGCAGGTTAGGGTAATTAGGCAAGTTATTGTATAATGATGGTTTGTTCTGTAGACTATCGATAAAAAAAATTAGCTTAAAGGGGCAAATAATTTTCACCTTAAAATTGTGTTAAAAAAAATTAAAAACTGCTTTTATTCTAGCCGAAATAAAAAAAATAAGACTTTCTCCAGAAGAAAAAATATTATCAGACATACTGTGAAAATTTCCATGCTCTGTTAAACATAATTTGGGAAATATTTAAAAAAAAGATTTAAATAAATAAATACGGGGGGGCTAATAATTATGACTTCAATGGTATATATCGTGTGGACAAACTAAAAAGTTCATCATGTCATACAATGCACCATCGCTTGATAAATATCATATTTAATTAATTTAATATATTTTTTTTATAAAGACATAATTATAAATTTAAATCAGACATATATCACAATAATAGTGTGATTTCTGTAAATGTGTGATTTCTGTGAATTGGGTAGGCTAAATTGTCCTGAGTGTATGTGTGTGAATGAGTGTGTGTGTATGTGTGTAAGTGAGTGTGTATGGATGTTTCCCAGCAATGGGTTGCAGCTAAAAGGGTATTCGCTGCGTAAAACATATGCTGGATAAGTTGGTGGTTCATTCCTCTGTGGCGACCCCAGATTAATAAAGGGACTAAGCCGAAAAAATTTGCTATATATATACACACACACACACACACACACACACACACACACACACTATATATATATATATATATATATATATATATATATATATATATACACGCAAACACACATGTATATAATTTAAAATATTTACATATATAAAAATATTTATATAAAATTGTATGTAGATGTGTGTATTTATATATACATATTATATAGTAACATAATAAAATACTCAATAAAACAAAATAATTATATGTGAACTTTTACGTTGTATCCGATCAGTCGCAATTAACCTTTTAAAAGCCATAAAAAAATCTAAAATTAAAATAAAATATTTATTTTTAAATATCATCATCACCTTGTCATGATAAATATTGGCTTCTATCTCCCCTGTATTTAGGTCATGATGCTTTCTCTTTCGTTTCTGCAAAACACACACACACACACACACACACACACACACACACACACACACACACACACACACACACACACACAAAGAAAAACAGGAGACTTTTAACAAAATCTAGCCAAGTAAATCATAACAAAGACATCAAAGTAACAATAATAAAGTGTCCGCAATGCTTTGTACAGTTTTATCGCCTACCTTTCGTGTTTGTAGCTCGATCTTTTCATGTTCAGCACTGTCATGTTTACCAGAATCTAACGGAAATCCGCTCATAGCTGTACTTTGCTGCATATGAGGCATCAGGATATTAAAATACTGCCTCTTGAAGCAGCATGTGAAGTGTGTGTTTTCTTCGAGCCCATTGGCTTCATTATAACAAACACAGCGCTGGAAATCCTTGTCTATATGAGAGCTGGAGTCCAGCAACCAGCCCCAGGAGTTACAACACACTACAGACATTTACTAGACATTAGTGGAAACACCGCTGATAATGTTCAAACAGGTTCATTTTAACGCATGTTATTTTACTGCTGCTTCTTCAGTTCTAGCAGGGGGATGTTATTGAGACAATCAACTCTCAGTGCTTTACCGCCACTTGCTGGAGGAACACCAGATCTTATTTGCAAACTGATCCGGGAACATTCATTATACACTTATATCAAATTAATTTAGGGTAAAAAAACAAGTGGAAAACCAGGTTCATAAATAAGAAATTACAAATCATTTCCAGTATTATTTATTATTAGCATTAAAAAAAAAATTATATATATATATATATATATATATAATTATTATTATTATATTATTATTAACTTTTTTGCATTGAAATAAATTCATTATATATAACAGTGTATTATTATTATTTATTATATTTATTTGAGTGTATTTATTAAACTTTTTTGCACTGAAATAAATTCATTTTATATAAAAGTGTATAAATATTTATTATATTTATTATAGTGTATTTATTTCCCTTTTTGCACTGAAATAAATTCATTACGTATAATAGTGTTTTATTATTTAGTATATTTATTTTAGCATATTTATTTAATCTTTTGTCCAAAAAAATTAATCATATATAAAAGTGTATTATTTTTTATTTATTATATTTATTTTAGTGTATTTATTTTGGTGTATTTATTTTTTGCACTGAATATATTCATTTTGTATAATAGTGTATTATTATTTATTATATTTATTTTAGTATATTTACTTTAGTGAATTTATTTAGTTTTTTTTGCACTGAAATACATTTATTAAGTGTATTATTATTATTAAGTATATTTATTTTAGTGTATTTATTTTACTTTTTTGCACTAAAATAAATTCATTATGTGTGTGTTATTATTTTTATTTTAGAGTATTTATTAAACTTTTTTGCACTGAAATAAATTAATTAAATATAATAGCGTATTATTATTCAGTAAATTTATTTTATGCATTTAAATTTATTATGCATTTATTTATAATGCATTTTTAGAATAATAATTATATATATATATATATATATATATATATATATATATATATATATATATATATATTACTAAAGTAACTATTACTACCACTTATTATTATTATTATTAAATAACATTTTGTAAAATATATGTACATTTTGTATTACTGTTATTATTTTTAATAAACCCATATAAAAATAAAATGCTCTATTCCACTATTATTATTATTATCATCATTCTTCTTTTTCATATTATTATTATTATTATTATTATTATTATTATTATTAATAATAATATCACCATCCTCCTTTCCTGTAGGTGGCGAAGTTCACAGCATTTGTCAGTCTGCTTGCCTTAACTCATTCCTCATTAAAGAACAAGCCCTGATGCTGCTGCAGCTGCAGATGTAGCTGGTCCTCCTGGCGCGAAACCTTTCAAATTTACAGCCGTAACAAAAAAATATTATATAACGTCAAACTTAAATGATAAAACTCCACATTTTAGCGACAAACAATAGAAATCCGATGTAAACCCCCAGAAGAGCGTGTCAGATGCGCAGCGCTGAAGCCGGACATTGTTGTTGTTGTTGTTTGTTTTTAGCGTAATGTCTGAAAAGTGACGGTTGTGGAAGTGATGGAGAACCAGCTGTTGACCGCGGGCGCTGGAGAAACGCAGCCCGAAAAGAAGCATCAAAAGTCGGTTGTGGTGTATGACTGTCGGCCCGGCAGCAGCGCTGCTCCACCGCGGACTTTCGACATCTCCAACGCAGATTTTACCAGCTTCCTGCAGGCTCTCGTTCGGGTGAAGATGCTTATTTTCTGCGTACACTTGCTGGATCTCTTTATGTTTGCTTTATTTGTGACTTTTAATCATGATTTATTGTCATTTTAGGAGTTCTCGCTGTCGAATGATGAGACTTTCGTTATTAGCACGACAGACCGAAAGGAAATCGACCAAGAGCTTTACAGTAAGTGCTGTAACGTTATATTTATTTATTATTATTAGAAATTTATCAAAAATGTTTACGTTACGTGTTTGGTTTTGTATTATTTATTTGTTTTATAAGTGTTTTTATTTTTTAAGTATTTTTTATTGGATTTTAAAGCTTCAAAGGCTTTAAAGCTTTTTTATTAGATTTGATAACTGCAAAATAAAATACGTAATGATGTGCATAATAATAATAATAAAACTTCAGTAATTTTGAATTTTCCTTCGGCTTAGTCCCTTTATTAATATATAAAAAGCTAATAAGTAATTTTGTTACAGTTTTTAAACAAATATGATAAAATCAGTACATTAAAAAACTTAGTTTGTTAGTAATGTTTTCTTATTAGTCTTAAGTCAGGGGTCATCAAACTTGATCCTGAAGGGCTGGTGTCCTGCAGGATTCAGCTCGCACCCTAATCAAACACACCAGAACCAGCTAATTTTACTAAGCTCTTTCTAGATAAACTTTAAAGTTGAAACCTCCAGATAAGTGTATTGAGGCAAGTTGGAGCTCAACTTTGCAGGACACCGGCCCTCCAGGAACTAGATTGCTGACCCCTAACAGCGTTTAATTGACTGTTTTATTTGTTTTCATTTTATTTGTCATTTTGTCTGTGTTTTTACACCAGGAGCTAAACAATAACAGTGTTGCACTGATTAAATATTATTCTATTTATTTAATACATTAATTTTTTAGTAGTTTATATATAATATATATATATATATATATATATATATATATATATATATATATATATATATATATATATATATATATATAATATATATAATATAAAATGTTATATATAATAGTTTGTATAAATATATATAAAGTATAACATGTATAAAGTATTTATCAAAGTTACGTTCACAATTTAAATCTTATATTTGTACTTGCTCAACTACTTTCATTTTGTTGACAGTTTTTCAATATAATGTAGATGTAACAAATGACATTTTAGATATTTAAATTTATTTAAATTTTAGATTATTACATGAACAAATTACAGTTTAGATGTTTAAATGTATTACAATTTTAGATATTTACATTTTAGATATGTAAATAAAGAATACATTTAATTTTTTATTTATAATTTATTTATTTATTTTTTAATTATTTATATTTATATATAGCTCTTTATATGTTTGTGTGTGCGTGCGTGGGTGTATGTGTGCGTCTGTGCGTGTGTGCGCGTGCACGTGTGTGTTACGTTCAGAAATTAAATGCTATATTTGTACTTGCTCAGCTACTTTCATTTTGTTGACAGTTTTTGTAATGTAGATTTAACAAATTACATTTAATATATTTAAATGTATTAAAATGTTAGATATTTACATTAATAAATTACATTTTAGATATTTAAATGTATTAATTTTAGACATTTACATTTTAGATATGTAAATAAATAATATTTATTTGATCAATTAACTGAATTTGTTTTCTTTTCTCTTGTTTTCAGCTACTTTTATTTTGTTTACAGTTTTCAATATAATGTAGATTTAACAAACTGCATTTTAGATATTTAAATGTATTAAAATGTTAGATCCTTACATTTTAGACACTTAAATAATTTTATTTATTTAATAAATGTAATTGCATTTATTTCTATTTGTTTACTGTTTACTGTTAAACTCTAAAAATAAATTAATAAATTATTGACTGTTAGTGAACTTGTGTAAAAATGGTTGTTTATTTCCTGATATGGTGTTGTTTATGTTGTGGTGTATCAGAGGAGCTGGTGCACGGGAAAACCTTGCAGCTGATGACTTCTGTAAATCAGGAGCTTCCAGTGGCGACTCAGGAGCGGATCGACTATCTGCCACACTATCATACCCTGGTGCAATGTGGCATGTACGAGTATTACGCCAGCGAAGGACAGAAAGCGTTGCGTAAGTCTGAAATCACACCTCCGCCATGCTGATGTAGATGAACTCAGACACAGATTAACATGTGCTTCTCTCTCTGTGGTGTTACTTTCAGCCTATGCGTTTGCAGAGCTCATTGATAATGCACTGTCAGCCACCAGGAGAAACACTGACATCAGGAGGATTGAAATCAGACTGGTTAGTAAACAAAAATTAAGACTAAAAACTACAAAACAGAAAAAAACGACAATACTAAAAACACAGAGACATGCACAGGTTTGTTTTTGTGACTTGTGGGGACATTATATAGGTTTCCATTGATTTTTATACTGTGCAAACTTTTCTATTTTTTTATTGCCCTAACCCCACCCTATCCCTAAACCACTACGTTTTTGTAATACCTGTGTAAAACCTATGTTGTTACACAGATTAACATTATAGTCTTTGTCTTTCGTGCATTATGTTGTAATTAATAACTTCACATGAATCTGTGTGCTGACGACGTATGCATTATTTCTGCACTAAATTATCTGTTATTGTTGCATTCTTTCTAGAACTTGCAGTGATTAATGTGTTGACTGCCTTTTTTAGCAGTAAAATTAGCCCGGGTGCTAATGTTTCATTATTAATTAAATGAAAGTGTTGACAGTTGTTACGAACTCTAATCTTGCTTGGCTCCACAAAGCAAGTCAGACCTGTAACAATAAATAATATTAAATTAAAATAATTAGAACTCTTTTAAATTAATGAGGAGCCTGGAGTCTCATCTCCCGTTCAAAATGGAAAAAACCACAACAAAGACGAACGACCAAGGAAATAACGTAAAGTCAAATTTATTTGACTTTAAACTTCAAAAGGAGACAATAAAAATCTTGCAGAGGTCAAAAATAGCAAACAAAACTCAACAACTAACTAAGTTTTTAACCCTCTTACCTGCACATGAAATTAAGCAAATAAAATAACATTCACTTACCTCCCTACTAACCACAAAACATGAGGAAAATGTAACAAAACAAAAAGGCACCCTCCTCAGCACACTTGTCTCCGTATAGATCTCAAAGTCAGCACTCAGCGTTCACTTTCAACAATTCAGCAGAGTAAATACGACACAGTTTCTACTTCACAACACAAGCCGGGAGAGAGGAGACTCTCTGAACGACGTTCCAGTCCCGTTTAAATTGTCTTCACCAACAAGCTGGCCTCCACATGCTGGCACCTGATTCACCGCACCTGTGCGGTAATGATGAAACCTATACGAGACAGAGGCGGAGAGAAAAGAACCACAAGCGTATGCAATGCACACATAAAAACAAACAAAAAACTCACTACTTAAGATATTTATTTATATTATTGTTTTTATATTATTATTTAATTAATTAAAGAAAATGCTTAACAACAGTGCATTTGTTTTGCACTAAAATAGTCGTTATTGTTGCATTATTTTTGTGTTATGAGCTGTCAAGCAGTACATGGACATGTTTTTCCTGCAAAACATTTGCATCTTGTGTTTTATTGATGAAGTCACCAGCAACTAGTCGATGTGAACTTGGCTTGAGTAGCATAAATGAGTGCACCCCTCACTGATCTCTCTTTAATATTAATACTAATATTTTTGGTATGATTAAATATTTTCTATATTTCCTTCATATTAATATTTTCTATATGGTATATTAATATATTTGTCATTAGATTAGATTGGATTAGTCAGTACCAAAGACAAAACTGCATCGAACCTTTAAAAAAAAAAGCTTCAATTCCAAAAATCAGTACATTCAAAAGAATGTTGGGCAACAAAATTACATAATATTTTAATAAACATGAAAAATTAAGAGAAACATAAAACATATACAGTTGAAGTCAGAATTATTAGCCCCCCCTGTTTATTTTTTCCCCAATTTCTGTTTAAAGGAGAGCAGATTTTCTCAACACATTTCTAAACATAATAGTTTTAATAACTCATTTCTAATAACTGATTTCTTTTATCTTTGTCATGATGAAAGTAAATAATATTTGACAAGATATTTTTCAAGACTTCTATAAAGCTTGACATTTAAAAGCTTAACTAGATTAATTAGGTTAACTTGGCAGGTTAGGGTAATTAGGCAAGTTATTGTATAACAGTGGTTTGTTCTGTAGACTATCAAGAAAAAAAAAGTAGCTTAAAGAAGCTAATAATATTGTCCTTAAAATGTTGTTTAAAAAATTAAAACTGCTTTTATTCTAGCCGAAATAAAACAAATAAGACTTTCTCCAGAAGAAAAAATATTATCAGACATACTGTGAAAATTTGCTTGCTCGGTAATCATCATTTGGAAAGTATTTAAAAAGAAAAAATAATTCAAAAGGGGGGCTAATAATAATAATCTGACTTCAACTGAACATTCGTTGACTTTTTGTTGTTGTTGCAATAACTTGCAAATTCTTGTTTTTTTTTCATTGCATTAGTGTGGTTTTGGTTTTATTGTTTGTTCAAACAATTATTTTAGTTATTAATAAGAGGTTTGCACAGGAGTTAGTGTAAGCTATGCAAACACTAAACTGCTTTGGTCGACACAGGATGTGTGTTTTTTTTAACTCTAACTAGAACTCAAACTGAAACTAAATGTTTCCTAGTACTGGGTTGTGGCTGGAAGGGCATCCGCTGTGTAAAACGTATGCCGGAATAGTTGGCGGTTCATTCTACTGTGGTCACCCCTGATAAATAAGAGACTAAGCCAAAGGAAAATGAATAAATAGTAAATATATCAAGGCATAATGGGAATATGTTCACCATATTTAAACCATTAATGAAGCTAACTAAAACTAAACTGAAATGTACAGCAAATTTTTTAATATTATTGAATTAAAAACCAACACCCTTAAAAAAAAAAAAAAAAAAAAAAAATATATATATATATATATATATTATAAATTAATTATTATTATATATATTATAAAAATTAATATATATTATAAATGTATATTATTATTATTATTATTATTCCCAAAATTATTCTCACTGTAAGTTACTTTTATTCAACCAGCAAGTGTTTTGTTGATCTGAAATGACACAAGCTTCTCTTAAAAGATAACAAGATGATGTACAAGAGGCATCCTTGTGGGAAATAATATTTCTCAGCTTTTATTTATTTATTCATTCATTTTTATACTTGTTCCTTAATTCATCAGGGGTCGCCACAGCGGAATGAATCGTCAACTTATCCAGCATATGCCCTTCCAGCTGCAACCCAATACTGGGAAACATCCATACACTCTCCTTCACACACACACACTCATACACTACGGCCAATTTAGCTTATTCAATTCCCCTACAGCGCATGTGTTTGGACTGTGAGGGAAACTGGAGCCACTGGAGGAAACACGGGGAGAACATGCAAACTCCACACAGAAATGCCAACTGACCCAGCTCTGACCTAAACCAGTGACATTCTTGCTATGAGGCGACAGTGCTAACCACTGAGCCATCATGTCGCCGAAGCTTTTATTTACATTTACACACACGTTAGGCTTCCGCTTTACACTGTAGTTGACATGAACAAACAATAAATCAAATCACGTTAATAGCAACGAGCAGTTAACACATTTCCTGTGTGTGTGTTCCAGCTGTTTGATGAGGCTCAGGGAGGACCTGCGGTTGTGGTGATGGACAATGGCTGTGGGATGACCTCCAAACAGCTCAACAACTGGGCTGTTTACCGTCTTTCCAAGTTCATCCGAGAAAACAGCACATTTCAAAGGTGCGGTCTTCATAATCATACATGCACTTCTTTGTTATATAATGCAATAAGCCTGTTCAGAATTGCTCTTAAAGGTCTCGTGAAGTGCATTGAAATGTGTATTTTTTTTATTAGATGTTTGGTGTAATTTCACCTGAAACATGAAGAGAGGGCGGCACATTGTGTAGCTTCTCCTCTACAGCCAATAGCATTTTGTTTCATCACAGCTCTGCCAGTTTAGTGGTTGAGATCAGGAGTAACAAATGAAAAGCAAATGAGAGGTGTCTTGAAGGGGGCGGGGCATGTCAGATACAAGAGCACAAGAGAGTAGTTTGCATTCATTCATTCATTGTCTTTTATTTTGAAAACGCATAAGTTTTGCTACGATTTAGTCTCCACTACACTTCCTAATTAACTATTTAGTCTCCACTACACTTCCTAATCTGCAATTGCCTCTCTAAATATCACACTAACTGTACCAAAAAAAAAAAAAAAAATACTAATACTACTAATACTTCCCTTCTTAGACTTTACAGACCTGAAACTTGCCTATAGCACTTATTCATTGTTGCTCTTGGTTGTGTAAATTGCTTCCTTGTCCTCATTTGTAAGTCGCTTTGGATAAAAGCGTCTGCTAAATGACTAAATGTAAATGTAAATGATTACACCATCCGTCCACACTACGCCAGAGTTTTCGAGCACCGAAAATGGATCATTTTGGAAACGCTGGAGAGGCTGTTTGCATTCAGAAACGCTGCTGCTCCGTCTCAGTGTGGATGGGGGAAAACGGAGACACCTTAAAATGGAGGCGGGGCTGCTGAGAATCGCTACCTGATTGGGGCTTTTGTGTCATTGCGTATGCTTTCCTTATTCGTCAAACGCTACCGTAAGACAGCAGACCAGCTTTCACTGTAAACAACAACATGGACGCAGAAACGGTAGCATTGTTTGCACTATTGTCTGTTTTAGGCGCCATTGTGCAGTTATTCATTTGTTACGATTAGTAACAACTCGACCTTGTCGTCTGTCCACAAAAATACCTCTCTTGCTTTCTTTGCCATCGGGTTCATTGCTCAACCGGCGTTTGTTGACTAACAATAACCAAATGCCGAGCGAGACACATGCTTCCTGTTTATACTAGAACACGCATGCCCAGAATGCGCGAATGCTCACGTGATATACGTTTTTGGTGGTGTAGTGTGGACGGAGATATGTCCAGAGACGCTAGTTGAAACGCTAGTGTGGACGCGGATTGCTTATGATCTAAAATGCCATATTAAAACTAAAACCCAGTAGTGTAAACGGGCCCTCATTTATGTAGTCAAGTGTAAACGCAAACGCTTTCCCAAAGCGGATCAGAGAAAAAACATAAAGTGACCATGTGTTAATAGGCCCATAAAGATGTTGATTTTTACACACAGCCTCAGCACTGACACCTTAACAAAACCAGTAAATGAGAGTAAAGGAAACAACCCCCACTGTGAGCTCCAATCAATATGGCTCCTCCAGATAACAGTACTAGGGCATTCAAGCAGAACTAGGTCACAAAAACTACTCGCATGTAAAGATTATCACACAGTTTGTTTCCTGCTTTCAGTAGGAAGATTAGATACTTGCAAAACGCATTCACTGGAAGATGTATTGAATCTAATCATTCTTGTCATGCACTCTTTAAATGCCTAATGCAATGTAACAGACATCCTGTAGTGTCAAATGTTTTTGTTGTGATAAATTGCTGAAGCTTTTGTCATGGTGAAAAAAAATCCTCGTAACAATTTGCATGAACAATTTTCAAGTAAACTTTACTATCTTATATCTGGTACAATTAACTTGTCAAATCTCAGGTAAAATTTAATTTAGGAGCGTTAGGTTAAACATCGAGTAAAAGTAATTGAATCTCTTTAATTTTGAGTTTATATTTAAATTTAATTAATCAAGCAATGTCAAGTTCTTGTTTTAGCAGAAGGAACATTGCTTTTATCAATTTAAATTAATCTTATTAATTTCAAATTAGTACATTTAGTGTAACTTAGTTTAATTAAGACACACATTTCCACTCACTTGAATAGATTTAGTTGCAAATTGTCTTATGGGGGTTTGATTAAACATGAGTTGTTTTTTTTTAATTGTGGATGCAGTGAAGAAGCCGGTTATGTGCAACCAGATCCAGTTCCACGCAGTCTGAACAGTGACATCTCATATTTTGGAGTCGGAGGAAAACAGGCTGTGTTTTACATCGGCCAGTCTGTCAGGGTATGTTTGCATCCAGTTCACTTACTTTTTCTGCAACATGTGAAATACTTGAAAATGAATGCAATGGATAGCCAGAAAAGCTGAAACGTGGGATGCTTTTCAGTGTTAAAATGCATTGCAAAGATATTTCAATGTAATTAGTATTGCAACATTAAATATGTTTATTAATTTGATTGCACTTTCAGTAAATGAACAAACTTTATTAGAGAACGTAAAGTAAAAAGCTCTAATAATAATTTATTCTTAGAAGAATATTGTTAACAAACACGTTCATTGAGCAACAGCAAAATAAAAAGCTCATGAACTTCAGCCTTTTTATTTTGTACTGTAATAAGTAAATAAAAAGATAATAAATATTGTTTCTGTAAAAGAGGACATTAAAACGAATAGAAGACTTGAAGTTAATAACCATTGTGAAACGTACAGTAATGCATTGATTATGTGCGTTTCAGATGATCAGTAAACCTGCGAGCTCTCCAGATGTCCATGAATTTATCATGTCTAAAGACGACTTTGAGCGCAAGGAGAGAAACAAGGAAGACATTTATTCGGGCTTTATTAGAAACAGGAAGGTGAGTGAGGTGTGAATCATCATGTGTGAATCACTGGGTTGGAAATGACAAATATTTGAATATTCACAAATATGTTTGTGCACTCACTTTAGGTGGTTTTAGACCCAATGCTAACACGAGGATCACATTTGCTGAATAAACTCTGACTTGGTGAACATTACACCCATGTGACCAATCAGCTGCTTCCATTTTGCTTGCCTTGTTTACTTTTTGTTGCTAGGTTGCCAATACTACAGTCAGCTGCTCTAACTTGATGAAAATGCGTCTAATTTGCATTTGACATTATTTATTTGTTTTATTTGCGAGATTTGAAAAGGTTTGTTGCACAATAGGATGGTCACCCGGCTATTGTTGGCTTCTGGATTTAGTTTCAAAGCGTGTGTGTTTTCTGTGCAGCCCGGAGATTGTTCACATGTGGACAAAAGCGAGGAGATGTTTCTGCAGTCCATTATGAGAGAAGAAATTGGAAAGGAGAGTTTTACAGCAGTCGTCATCACTGGGATACAACAGGAGCACATCAATTATCTTAAACAGCATTTCATTCTGTGGACCAGAGAGTTGGCGTGCGTCTCAAAATCACACACACCCACACACAACCTTAAGATTGCATATTGCTTGTCATTTATTTAGAGTTATTTAGCTTGAGCTTTTAGGTTATATTGGTATTTCTTTTTGTCGTTAAGGCACATCAATATTAATGGCAGTAAATATATATATATATATACACACACAGTTGAAGTTAGAATTACTTACCCCCCTGTTTATTTTTTTCCTCAATTTTTGTTTAACAAAGATTTTTTCAACACATTTCTAAATATAATAGTTTTAATAACTCATCTCTAATAACTTGTTTATTTTATCTTTGACAGGATGGCAGTAAATAATATTTGACTAGATATTTTTTCAAGACACTATACAGCTTAAAGGGACATTTAAAGGCGTAACTAGGGTAAATAGGTTAACTAGGCAGGTTAGGGTAATTAGGCAAGTTATTGTATAATGATGGTTTGTTCTGTAGATTATCGGAAAAATAAAGCTTAAAGGGGCTAATAATATTGACCTTAAAATGGCTTTTAAAAAATTAAAAACTGCTTTTATTATAGCCGAAATGAAACAAATAAGACTTTCTTCAGAAGAAAAAAATATTATCAGACACACTGTGAAAATTTCCTTGCTCTGTTATTCTTGCTTTTGCTCTGAATTCTGACTTCAACTGTATATATAGGGCAGCAGGGTGAAGCAGTAAGCTAAATTGTCTGTAGTGCATGTACGTGAATGCAAGAGTGTATGGGTGTTTCCCAGTGATTTGTTGCAGCTGGAAGGGCATCCGCAAAACATATGCCGGATAAGTTGGAGGTTATTCCACTGTGGCAACCCCAGATTAGTAAAGAGACTAAGCCCTTCAAATAAATGAAGGAATAATGTAAAGAAATCATATTATGATAAAATAATACATATCTAGATTTGATTATATCCCATGCATTTTCTACAATAAAGAAATAACTGATATAATGGTAATTTGTTGATTTTGTTGTTTAGATTTTGGGGATTTTGCATTGTTTTTATGTATTGAACTACACAGCTGTCAACAACAAACAATTGAACATTTTTTTTATTTTTAAGCTTCTAATGCTAAGAGCTTTATTTTAATTCAGGAGTTTATTACATCAAGGTCAGCCATGAGTTATTCACTGCTGTTTACTGTATTTCAGACATACTTACCATTATTATATACATGGAGTCGATGGAAACGTCAAAAATGAAATGAAAAAAACTGAATCTTCCTCCAACATTGACATTCAGGTACAGATGCATGTGTGTTTTCTGCATTGAGAGATTTTATGCAAGCTTATACCAACAATTATTTAATGTCATTTGCTCAATTGTGACATTTTAAATATTAAAACTTCACGTTACATATATTGTGTCAAGAATTTTTCTGATCACGTTTTCAGTGGAACAAACTGTATTTGTCATTAAATTGTCACATTAAAAGTATCGTTACTCTCAAACTATTTTAAAGACCCTTATTAATGTTTAATTACATTTTAATGACAAATTTAGCTTGTAGCAATATATTTACTTTTACATTTAGTCATTTAGCAGACGCTTTTATCCAAAGCGACTTACAAATAAGGACAAGGAAGCAATTTACACAACTATAAGAGCAACAATGAATAAGTGCTACAGGCAAGTTTCAGGTCTGTAAAGTCTAAGAAGGAAAGTATTAGTAAATGTTTTTATTTATTTATTTATTTATTTATTTTTGAGTACAGTTAGTGGTATATCCAGAGAGGCAATTGCAGATTAGGAAGTGAAGTGGAGACTAAATAGTTGAGTTTTTAGTCGTTTCTTGAAAACAGTGAGTGACTCTGCCGTTCTGATGCAGTTAGGGAGTTCATTCCAACAACTGGGCAGATTGAACGTGAGCGTTCGGGAAAGTGATATCTTCCCTCTTTGGGATGGAACCACAAGGCGACGTTCATTCACAGAACGCAAGTTTCTGGAGGGCACATACATCTGCAGAAGTGAGAGCAGATAAGAAGGGGCGCAGCCAGAAATCGCTTTGTAAGCAAACATCAGAGCTTTGAATTTGATGCGAGCAGCAACTGGCAGCCAGTGCAAACGGATGAGCAGCGGAGTGACATGTGCTCTTTTAGGTTCATTAAAGACCACTCGTGCTGCTGCGTTCTGGAGCAGCTGAAGAGGCTTGATAGAGTTAGCTGGAAGCCCCGCTAGCAGAGAGTTGCAGTAATCCAGTTTAGAGAGAACAAGAGCTTGAACAAGGAGTTGAGCTGCATGTTCAGATAAGAAGGGTCGGATCTTTCTGATGTTACAGAGTGCGAATCTGCACGATCGAGCAGTTCTAGAGATGTGGTCAGAAGTTTAGTTGGTCATCAATCGTTACTCCAAGGCTTTTCACCATTTTGGATGCAGTAATGTTTGCCCCATCCGTCTGGATTGAAAAGTTATGGTGTAGAGTCGGGTTGGCAGAAACTACAAGCATTTCCGTTTTCGCGAGGTTAAGCTGGAGATGATGATCTTTCATCCAGTGTGAAATGTCCAACAGGCAGGCTGAGATGCGAGCTGGAACCGAGGGATCATCAGTATTTGCGGTAAAAATATATATACATTAATGATGCTGTTATAAAATTCATGACATATTTATAACAGCTTCATGACAGTCATGTTTATGACAGATTTATGATGAGTTCTGTTGTCTTGGTAATGTCAAGTTGCCATGAAAAATACGAAAACAGATTGTGATGTATTTATGTCAAGCTGTCATAGCAAACAATGTCATCTTTTGCATTTAAAATGTCACAGCTGAGCAAAAAACACTTAATAACATGGTGTTATAAGCATGCATAAACTCTCATTGACATTCATGCCATGATTATAAAGGTTTCATGACCGTCTTATGAACACCCCTTCAAGTAAAGTGTTTTATTTTTAGTCTTTGTTATTCGTGATGTTTTCTCTGAATCTCCCTCAGATCAGTTTGTTTGAGCGCTCGACTCGAGTCCCCCGTATCATTAATCTGCGGGAGGTGGATAACGACATGCAGACACTCTATGTCCGGTCATCTGCTAACACGTTTGAGTTTAAAGCCACCGGAGCCAAAGATTCATTAGTGGAGGGATTGATCCGATATCATCCTTTTCTCTACGATCGAGAAACTTTCCCTGTGGATCCATACGCTGCTTCAGCAGGTACTGTGATCAGCTCTCAAACAGACACATGAGATGGGTTTAGAGGGGTCAAACAATATGTAAAAAAACTTATATACTCACCGGCCACTTTATTAGGTACACCTTACTAGTACTGAGTTGGACCCCCGTTTGCATTCAGAACTGCCTTAATCCTTTATGGCATAGATTCAACAAGGTACTGGGAATATTCCTTAGAGATTTTGGTCCAGGTTGTCATGACAGCATCACGCAGTTGCTCCAGATTTGTCGGCTGCACATCCATGATGCCAATCTCCCGTTCCACCACATCCCAAAGGTGCTCTGTTGGATTGAGCTCTGGTGACTTTGGTGGCCATTTGAGTACAGTGAACTCATCGTCATGTTCAAGAAACCAGTCTGAGTTGATTCACGCTTTATAACATGGCGTATAATCCTGCTGGAAGTAGCCATCAGAAGATGGAGACACTGTGGTCATAAAGGGATGGACATGGTCAGCAAGAATACTCAGGTAGGCTGTGGTCTTGACATGATGCTCATTTAGTACTAATGTGCCCAAAGTGTGCCAAGAAAATATCCCCACACCATTACACCACCACCACCAGCCTGAACCGCTGATACAAGGCAGGATGGATATATGCTTTCATGTTGTTGATGCTAAATTCTGACCCGACCATCAGAATGTGGCAGCAGAAATGGAGACTCATCAGAGCAGGCAACGTTTCTCCAATCTTCTCTTGTCCAGTTTTGGTGAGCCTGTGTGAATTGTAGCCTCAGTTTCCTGTTCTTAGCTGACAGGAGCGGCCCCTGGTGTGGTCTTCTGCTGCTGTAGCCCATCCGCCTCAAGGTTGGACGTGTGGTGTGTTTAGAGATGCTCTTCTGCAGACCTCGGTTGTAACGAGTGTTTAATTGAGTTACTGTTGCCTTTCTATCAGCTGGAACCAGTCTGGCCATTCTCCTCTGACATCTGGCATCAACAAGGCATTTGCACCAACAGAACTGCCGCTCACTGGACATTTTCTCTTTTCAAACCATTCTCTGTGAACCCTAAAGATGGTTGTGCGTGAAAATTCCAGTAGATCAACAGTTTCTGAAATACTAACAACTAAATAGCTAAATAACAACCATGCCATGTCTTTCTTCCCCATTCTGATGCTCACTTTGAACTGCAGCAGATCGTTTTGACCATGTCTACATGCCTAAATGCATTGAGTTGCTGCCATGTGATTGGCTAATTAGAAATTTGCTTTAACGAGCTGTTAGACAGTTGTACCTAATAAAGTGGCCAGTGAGTGTACATCTTGAAGATAAAAAAACATAATAAGTGGGTCATTCCACATTATTTAATAAAGTGGTTCTGCAATAAAAGCCAATTTCAGTTTGAGTGCTGATATAGTGTGCCAGATATATTTATACATG